CCTGAGAATGAGGCTTCAATGTCACCTTCAAAGACAAGTCTTTCCAACTGTCCCATTTCAAATAGTGTATCTCTACTGTTACGTTCTTAGTGCCTTTGTTGCTTTGTCCATATATAATTCTTACAACCTTTATTATTTACTTACCCAAATTCTATGAGGGCATGTGCCTTATTTTTCTTTTTAAATCTACAATCTAAATTTTAGATTACAGAAAACAATAATAAAATAATGCAAGAACAGAATATATCTTCAATATTATTTAATGTCAGTATGATTAAATTACAAGTTGAATAGTGTACTAGAGATAGGCAATTTGATCCTGCATGACTTTAGCTTGGTTATATGACTGACAATGCATGTTGGACAAAGTAACCTATTCTGATCACCTAACTATATATACTGATTCCCAGCATGTTTATAATCCCAAGATGGCGAGTCAAAGGTACAACAAAAACATTTCTATTACTGTTGGGATTTGGTTGATGAACAGTGTGAAGTGGGATCTTTTCTTTCACCATTTAGAACAAATGAAGCATGCAGTCAGAAGCATTTGTGTATGTGAAAGGGAAGAGGGAAAAAAGAGTGAGTTACTGAAACTGTGATAAGGAAAAAGGGTTGGTAGAGAAAAATTTATGATATCTTTTGTATTTAAGTCCATTTATACCAGCAATAATTACTGAAGAAACGAAGAAACAAAAGGCTTTCTACTATTATATATTTTAGTACTTATTTTGTGATGTAAAAGTAATGAAAAAGTAAAAGGATGTAATTTAATCATTAATTTACCCTGTATCATTAGACATATAATTGTCCCTTAGGAAATTTATATAAAAGTGCTATACTCATGAATACTACATTAACTTTAACGATATTCATCTAAGTTATTTTTGGTTTGAAGAAGAGTTCCTTAAGGATTATGTATAATTTCTGTGCAAGAAAAATTTTTTAGATATAGTATTATCCCAAGATCAGAACAAACAACACTTAGATGATCATTGCTGGATCAGCATAAAAATATTTTATCTTTGTACTTTGGATGCTAATCAATAAATATTAATTATATAATTACTTATTTTATATTGTAAATGTTTAATAAAATTATGTTCTAAGTTGTATTTATACATTATGCCTAACAAGAATGGGTATGACAACAATCTCTGGAACCCTTACAACTATAAATAGTTTATCCTCAATAACTAATTTCATCTAAATGGATGGTCTTTCTAAAACATTCTTTGTAAGTAATCCGGTGTTCCTAATATAACAAAATTTTTAATATTTTCAATATTTTAATGTTCAATCTTGAACATTCTTAAAAAGTTTCCTCAATGTCTCCATTCCATAAATATAAGAACAATAGTCAATCAGAGTTTCTGAATAAAACTTATGGAAGGTCAACTAATTATAGGCTATGAATTTGTTAATCAGATGTTTTTCTGCTTAGATATATTTACCTGTATTTACATACAACTCAGAGGATTATGCAATTGATTCACTCAAATTAATAAATGTAATGAAACCAATCAGTCACACTATTGTTTTGTTTGTTTATTTTGCTTGTTTATTTTGTTTGTCACTGAATTGCCTGGGGTGGAAAACCGATTAACAAAGTATTGGCAATAAAATAAGTTCACAAGACTTATGTACTCATACCATGTTTTGACTTAATTGAATTATCGGAGTATGCAATTGATTATTTTTGAAAGCATGAACCACACCCTTAGAGATGCATCAACTCATTTAGGCTATAAAGTAGTATTTGCTGCAGAATAATTTTTGATAAATGGATTCCTGGTGTCCAGTGGCCACTGTGATATACAGTATATGGTTAGCTTACATGTGAAGATTGTGTTTTATATTCATGTAAGTGTCTAGTAGAGAAATGAAAGGCTATATTCCTTGAAAGATAAAATCTTTTTAAAATAAAAATTACCAATACTTAATTAATACTGTGATTTTAAATATAGAGAAAATTAATGGACTATGAGAGAGACAAACACAATTCATGTTTCCACTTAATTAATCAGATGAAGTGATCTAGGAAGCACCTTTACTTTCTGATCGATTCAAGGAAGTTTGGTTAATAGGAAGAAAGAGTCAAATTGATTTATTTCGTCTTTACAGTTAGCTTCACACTTAGTTAAAAGACAAGAGAAGAGATCTTGTCTATAGTCAAGTTACTGTTAGCACCATGTTAAAGTAATGAGGTAGGTTACTTTTTTGTCATTATATCATCATTTTACCTTGCTTATGTATGGAAAACTGAGGAGTGGGGTAGGAATTCTAGGAAAAGTGAATTCATTTTTTTTCAGCCATGAAGGATGTCATACAATTGGGTAAAACAGATAAATAACATTAAAATATTACTTTGTGAATAGCTTAATCTGGAAGAAGTTACGTAAAAATATAATTTTATTCTCTATAAAATAACAAATTTCAAAATTAAAACATTAATTCCATTAGCCTTTAAAGTGAAAATTATTGGAAAATTAAAGCTATCTTCTCAAAAGTAAATATGAATTATATTACTGTTTATTTTTATGTGTATAATAAATCAAATTTATATTTTACATTAATCTTTACATATTAAATATAGATAATTCTATAATGTCCCATGCTTTCCATGTTTAAGAACAGATACTTCATTTATTATGAAACTATAAGTTACGAAAAATCCCTAAAATGTTATTAAGAATAACATTTAGAAAGTTAGCATTCTCTTAACCTTTAGTGTGATGATTTCAATATTTGAAAGTTATCTCAACTTAACCGGAAAAATTTCTATTCACTATGACTTTAGGCTATAAAAAGCATCATCTTATAAATAATCATTTGTGTGATAAAAAATCTGATTATACTTTAAAGTGTTCTTTTGAAGAGGTCATGTAAATTTTACCCAATTTAACTTTTAGGTACTATTCTGCCCATTGTATTCTTTTGTGCAGCCTGTGCTTTCAGTGTATCAATACAAATTCAAATTCAGAGTTTAAGTAGACAATCTTTAATACTTCTATTTAACTGATGGGAAAATTGGGTAATATTCATTCACTAAGTTAAGCTAAGTAATAAAAATTAATTACAGATGCTTGGCATATATTCTAGGTAAAACATCTGTAAATACTATGGAAAAGTCATTAAAATAAGGTAAGCAGATAAAATTACTGCAAGAGGTTAATAAGTAACATCTCAATGCTCTTAAATTTACTACGAACGTCTGAAAGGTCATACTTTAACAGGACATATTTTGGTAGAATGGCACTTTAGAGTCATATGTAGATTCAGATATCTGTTTTATTCATGTTAGTAACCCCAGGGCCTAGGGTAATTACTGATATATCATATTTAAATAGATAAATGTTTGGGGAAATTATTGCATGAGAATAGCTGTTATAAACTTCTAGTACACTTGACTCTCAAAGTATTCATCTCTACTATCCCTATTTACTAATATAAAGTGCAATATCAATGTCTGACTTTCCAATTATTAAAAATTGTTTTCTCTCCTTGTAATTAAAAAAAGGTAGTAGTTTCACGGTTTTTAAATAATCTTCTATCTTCATAGAAATAAAGTAACTACCTATTCAATATTTTATACCAATAGTCTCTGAAAACAAATGAAAGATGCAGTGTGACGTTGTACAGCACCACAGCAAAGCAGGACACTACAACTGGTGTCTATTATGCGAGCTATCTTCAAAGCCATGAGTATTACGTATGGTTTCCAAATTCACCTACATGTTTGTGACTGCATTCTGTCAGGTAAAAATAATTGTAGTCATTAGGAAAATATGCCAAAGTACCAACTGTACAAATGAGAACTTAATTTTGATCCTGAATAATTATACATCTAAGTAAAATGGCCATATATGTTGATGGCAAAAAAAGAATGCTGGGTTGTTTGTCTTCTCCCTTAACCTTCTCCTTCTCCCAAAAAGTGCAGTTTCAAGCCATCTGACCTCCATTTTTACATTTGAAAATTACTTCGACACTCTGAAACATATGCCTTATCTGTTAAATAACGATAACTGACCACCACACACAATATTTGAGGTGACATATTGGTCATTACAGCAAGAGTGAGAATATCTAGCTAGGTACATGCTGGAAAACTTTTATGGTTGTTTCATGTTTGGTCTGAAAGGACTTAGAATATGCAGGTGGCATTTTTTACAGATCTTTATTCACAGCAGAAATCTAATGAGATATGTTTCATAAAGACTGTGTTAATAAAAAAAGGAAAATGCTCAAATATTCTAAGGGATTTCCATCACTTTTTACACACTATTCACCTTCAGTTTACCACTTTACCCACCAAAACAAAGTCCTCCAAGAAATCTGTCAGTGACTTGACTTCATGAATAGGGTATTCACAGCTTGGAAATTCACCCTAAACGCTGTTCTACTCCCCACCCTCAAGAATCTGAAACCCCAACACGGATCTGGGGCATCTGGTCTAGGAAGAATTTCAAGTCTACTTCGGTGGCAGGGATGGGAGATGAAGCATGGAGACTGAGGCTGGGCGAGGGCGGCAGAGTCACTGGAGGGGAAGGGCTGATAACTGGTCACGGGGTACAGCGGGAGCACCCTGCCTTTCAAGAAGGCATGTGGAAGAACCACACACGTTCCCCTGAAATGAGCGACCACCAAGAGCCAAGAAGTCTCCATTAAGTCTGTGCCGTGAAGCCTGAGCTCCGGCCGAGACAGCGCGGTGGGGAGCGGTCCTAAGGCCGCCAGCGGTGGGACCCAAGTGCAGCTGATGCTCAGGCAACCATTCAAAGACATTTGGAAGCAGAAGGGATCCGAGCCCGTGGGGTCGCCGTCCCGGGCGGTCCAGACAGGGCGCTATGGTAAGGGGACAACCTCGACCCCGCCGTGTGGCGAGCCAAGAGACGCCGACCCCGGGACGAAGTTACCCGCAGGAGGCAACAGTGCCCTGCTTCTCCAAGCACCGTCCTCCTCCCACCCACTCCCGCTCCTCGCTCCTCCGCCCCGACCCTTACCTTGGTTGTTGGAGACGTGACTGCAGTCGCCTGGCCACGCTGTCAGCAGAGGCAAGAAGAAACCAAATTGCAAAAGAAATTCCCGGACTTCGCAGCCCCCCATGGTTCTCCCCGGCTCTCTTCTCCTCTCCCTCAAAGAGAAGTGGCGGCAGCGCAGGCAGGTGTTCTGGGTAGGACGGGGGTCCCGGTCCACGTCTTCTTCCTCCTCCTCCTCTTCCTCCTCCACCCGGCCCGCAGGGGGTGTCCCGGGGCGCCCCCCGCGCGAGGTCCGGGGGACAAGGCGCGAGGGTCCAGGCTGCCCAGGTGCAGGTGCAGCTGCTTCGGAGGAGGACGCTGCCCGCGGCGCCGGGGAGCTCCTGGCGGCTGGAGGCGAGGGGAATCGCATCCACCACAGTGTCCCGCTCGCGCGAGGACTATTCACTTGGGCCCGAGAGAGCGCGCGCGCAGGAGCGAGCTCGGGCTGTGGTTTGGGGGAGGGGAGCGAGGGGGCGGGGAGCGCCTCACCGCGAGGACGGGGGCGGGAGAGGGACTGCCAGGTGGGGCGGGCAACGGGGCGGCCCGAGCGCCTCTCCCCGCTCCAGAGGGCACGTGCGGAGCCAAAGGCGGGGGAGGCGCAGCAGCTGTGAAGCGGCGTGGGGGCCGCGGGAACTTTCCTCCGGCCGGTGCGAGCGAGCCGGGCGGACGGCGGCTCCAGCGGGCCACGAGGGGTTCGGGCGCGGCGCGCGCTGAGCCCTCAGCTCCGGGCCTGGGCGGCGAGGGCAGCGGCGCCGCGCACCGCAGGCTCCTCCGAGTCGGCCGCGGCCGCCCTTAGTCCCGCGAGCACTTAGCCGCCCGTTTCTCAGCAGCGGCGCGGGCCGGCTTAGGTCGAGTCAGCTCCGGGCGCCGCCTGCCCCCGCCTTCCCCACGTCTCCCCGCCGGAGGGGGCGAGGCCCCGGACGGGCGCTCGGTCCGGAGAGCGCGCGGCGGCGGCGGTCGGCGCGACCGTCCTCCGCGCGGGCCGCCCAAACTTGCCCAGCGGGGCGAGCGCCTCCGCGGCTTCCAGTCCTGGGAAAGCAGCGCGCGGGGAGGAAGAGCTCAGGGGGTCACATCAGGCGGGAAACGGGCGGGTGCCCGGCGCCCGGGCTCGCGAGGTCTTCGCGTCGCCGTGCGGAGGTGACTTCGCGGTGGAGGTCACGAGCATCGTCGCAGCCCTGACGCTGGGATTCGGGGGTCCCCGAGCGTCCACGGCGTGGTGGCGTCGAGCCGCGCTCTCCTAGCGGTCCCAGGGCCGCGTGCCGCGTGGCCACATGCACGGCAGCGCGGGGGCGCCGTGGCAGGGGGATGTCCCCGCACGAGCCGTCCCCTCGCGGCACCCACTCCCTCCGGGGCGCAGGTCTCCCGGAAGCCGCGGCGCGGGGTGGGACTCCGCGACCCCCGCCCCGGGCTCGGGGCCACACCGCGTGCTGACGGGGAGGGACCCCGCGGCCCAGGGGGGCGCCCCGGGCAGGAACGGAGCCGGGCGCGCCGCAGAGCCGGCCGAGCCCAGCCTTCTCCCGGCCTGGCTGCCGCGCCTCCGATGCCGCCGCTTCGGCGCTAGAGGGGGTTAGTCGACAACGAAAATTCCTGCACCGCTCGCAGGTGGAGGCGGCTCCTCGGCGAGGAACCGCACGGAGGGAGGGGACGCGGCCAGGCTAAACTTGACGCGCTCGCCGCGGGCGCGCCAAGGAAACCGTGGCGCCTGGGGGGGGGGGGGGGGACTTCAGTGATACTGTTTTCGTTCCTGTTGCTCCCAACATCGTTTTTCTTTCTTGGAGGGACTTCGGCTATCACAGTCGAGTGAGATTGAAAACCCCACTTCCAAACCCGTCGGAATATTTTGAAAAGACATTGATGGCAATGGAGAAAGTGAACAGAGGAGAGAAAGTAGCGGTGTTGTAAAGGACAGACGGTATTTCCCAAGTGGGCAGAAGGCACAGGAGGGAAATGGCTCAGTGACCAGAGTCAGGAGAGCAGCAGCCGAGGGAGCGGAGGGTCTGCGTTTGGTGCGGACAGAAACAGCCCTTCCATTCCACGCGTTTCTGCGCTGCGATGGTTCCACGCCACACACCGCGGCTGGAGGCGGTTCACTGAATGCCTTACAGTCAATTGGGAGGAAAGGGAGGAGAGCAGGAAATGCCCCACATCTAACATTCTGCTTCGTGGAGAGAAATGTGAAATGCAAGTGATTTCCAGAGTGTGAGGGAGGTTTCCGATTGGTGACTGTACTCTCATCCTCATTAGGAATTCATACGCTGCTGCTTCTCTTTGAAGGTGTCCACGCCAACTTAAATGTATGCAAATCACTTCTATAAAGATACCGTGTGTGGAGTTTATGTATCGGCTCTTAAAAGAGTAAAATCTGATTTTGATTCTCATTTTGCCACGGTTACTGATAATTGATGGACCACATGGGCATTTGCAAACTCACTTTAGAGTTTATAAAAAGTTGTAAAATAAAAACACTACATTATTACTGTTATGATAGAAATCATTGTGTCTAATGTTCTTAGAATTGATTCATTATAATTCTATGCAAAATTTCTTTCTTTTTATATACTGTCAAAGTATATTTCCATGACCTTTTTATAATTAAATTTTCTTTTTTAAAGTTTGGCTCACAGTAAATCTATAAACATCATTAATGATTCACTAAAAGAAAAATCGTTCAAGAAGAAACTCCTTATAAATTGGAGGAATGTATAATATCTTAAAATATAAACCATGTGAATCGATTTCCATACTTTTACTTTTGAAATTAGACTTGCAAGGGAAAATTTTTAATGGAACGTCACCAAAAGGAAGTGATTTCAGTATAATTCCCAACATCAAATATTTTAAAATCCAAGTTTAAAATCGAATTCTGATGTTTTGCTTGTTACATTTTAGAAAATATCTTATAACATACCAAGAAGCTTCACTTAAAATTAGACTAGAAGGCAATAATTGTCGTGGAAGGAAGGGGAAAAGGCAGGGGTGATAAAGGAGAAGGAAATAGAAAGGGAAAATTAGGTTTATTTCTAGCACTCCCACTTAGTAAGAAATCATGACACAGTGCCTGAAACAAACTGTTACTTCAAAGTTACCATAATCGACTTGATTAACCTGAATTTCTAGTCCCCCGCCCCCCGCTATCCTTACAGTTCAGCTTCATTTCATAATTTTTGTATGTTTAAATGAGCCAAAGTCAAGTTTTATACAATATATATGCCTGGTCAGATAATTGATAGTCATATTCTGGTCTTGGCTTTTAAGAAAAAAATTACAAGACTTTTCTCAATATTAAAACCCATCTCACATGTTTACATATGTTTGGATGTTGTCTATTGCATGTCTAGAAGATAATGACATCTTAAGTAAAAACTCATCTAAAAGTGAGTTGAAATATGATTATCATGGCCTTTAACAATAGCAAGAGTCCATGAGTTTGACATGATTATTAATGTTAAAACATGATTGTAAAAAGAATTACCATGACTGATCATTTATGTGTTATATATGTATGCACACAGATGCACAAATGTGTATATGCATGTCCTCTAAAATATTTGTTTGATTCTTTTTATGTGCTTAATTCTCTTCACTCAGGAAAGAGTTCAAAGTAGGCTACTTGGTATGAGTATCAATTTCTTTTATAAAGCTAACATTTTATGTAAACTATATTCATAGTTACCTATGTAAGCTAGAAGCAATTGCACTTAGAAATGTACTTCCTTTTTGGTTTTCTAGCAGTGTTGATGTATTTGCTGACATGTGACAGTTTCAAAATTATAAGCTACTCAATGAACCAGATGCAATATTCATGTAGATTTATCTGCATTTGTCTGTTTGAATCATACCCATACTCAGAAAAGCATTCATGTCTCATTTTTCAGAACTACATTGTTCAGAATTCTTTTGTATTCTCTCAGACTATTGTTCTTCATGATATATGTGATCTGAATTCAGGTAAGATATGATCAAATTTTTTATTAAATAAAGAATATATGACATTAAAAACTAGTCCGCTTTTATTTATAGTAGAAATAACAGTATTCACAAAGGTTATTTGTTTTTAAAAGTGATTAAAAGAGGAGAGTCTTAACCTGCAGTTACTTCCTTTGAGAAAAAAAGGATTATACTGTTTAATACTCAGCATGTTTCAAGGCTTGAGAAAGTCTTAAGTATATTATTCTGGTAGAAGAGTAAATTAATCCATTCACAGCACCAATTTGCATTCTCTAAGGTCAAAGTAGAAGAAACATAAATAAAAAGAAGATTGATCCTCAAATATGCCAAAATATCAGGTCTTAAAAGATTAGGTGGATACTTTGAAAAGAACAAATTGCATGAATCTTTTTTGTTAATATAAAATGTAAAGACATGCTGTAGGCAATAATATTGTTATTTTCATGCCATCAACTTTAAAATATAAGTTAGAAGACTGGGTTCTATGATGACTCACCGTGCAAACAGCTAAAGTTAAAAAAAAAGAAAATCCATGAAGTCAAATACAGTTAATTTGACGTTCTTTGCTTTTAGAAAGTATGTAATTAGGGGAAAACATATACATTGTTTACTTCAGAAATTTTGCTGTGGTAATAAGAAGTAGATAATATTTTTCTGAAAACGAACAGTCAAAGCAGTTAATTTTATTGTTAGCACATCAAATCTTAAAAACCTTACAGAAAAAAATGCAACTTGAAGTTACATAAAATGTATTATAGTCGATTCTACTAAGACAATTGAATTTTGGTTCTTGTGTTACATACAGTGAAAGAAAAATATGTGTACATATGTCATATACATGTCATATTTATATGTGTTGGATGAAATTCAATAAAAATATTCTCTCTAGTACTTTTCTAATTCAGTAACCATTTGCCAAGCAAGATTTTCACATCCATTCGTGCTGATCACTGTAAGGAAAGTACAATGATTATTTAGATTTAGTCCTTACATCTCAAAAGTTTATATTATATTACAGCACAAAGACATATAGGTTATTCCAATTAAAATCAATCTCTGTGTTCCTACAGTAGAGTTCCAACTTATTATCATTATGTAAGAGGAAAAGAATCATACCTTCACCTTCTAAGGCATGGATTTCTTACAGTTACTGCTTTTACTTGAGTTAAACTCACTCTAGTTATGGCTTGATTCACTGTCTAAAGGCTGGAACATGAACTTTCACTAACATTAAAAGCAATACTAAAGGTTATGCACAGTGACCTAATAATTTAACTAGATTCAAATAACTTGCCATATAATGAAGTTGACTTAACAGTCTGTGTGGAATCAGGTATCCACAGAAAGTAATTTTACTAAATTATGCAGAGACTTTTTAAAATTTATAAATTTAAATTATTTCAATTTTACAAGTAGTACATTAGTTTATTTTTCATTCCTCAAACTGACCA